ATAGATAAATAGATATATAGATAGACAGATAGATAGATAGACAGATAGATAGATAGATAGATAGATAGATAGATGGATAGAGGATAGATAGGTGGGTAGATAGATGAGTAGGTAGTGGATAGATTTGATCTGAATTTATAGATTGAGAGTAAAAGTTGAAAAAGAAGAAAAAGAAAAGAAAAGTGGAAAAAGTTTCGGTAGATGGTAGCAAGGAACTCCCGGTGCGGCGGTATAGTGCAGGATAGGAGACAAGACAAGACAAGACAAGACAACTGTCCCTGCATTGCACATTGAGAACAGAACATTGCTTCTTCTACTCCACATGCTAGATAGATGATGTTGATGATTGCTGCTATTTCTTCTTTCAGTTAGCCATAGCTATACTCACTAATAGCTTAAATAATTAGTATAAAATAACGTTAATGAGATATTTTTAAGATTGAGTAAGTATACTTTGAAAATAGTTTTTTCTTAATGAAATTTACAACGATCATCTTTGAATTACTTTGATAGTTGGATTATATTTTTACGTTCAACAGTTTTTATTCATGTACTTAAATTGATAGAAAGCCTTGAATTAAAAAATATTTTAAAAATTGTGTACACTTTTAAATTTTTGAATATGTTTTGAGATTGAGTAATTCTTGTATTAAATTGATGCAGGTTATTTACAGGTAATTTAACTAGAGAGTAAACAAATTTTAGATTGGACAATTTTTGTTCGTATGCTTAAATCAAAAAAGCTCAGTTCAGGATATTTTGGTAGTTGAGTGAATCTTAAATTTCTCATATATAAGTAGCTAAATTGACTGGTAAGTATTAATTGGATAATTTGGAATCGAACATGCTTTGAATTGAAAAATATTTGTAAAATATACATAAACTAATGGAGATTTTCTACAAGTACTTTAATAATTTGTGTTCAAATTTGTGAACTCGTAAAGATCGTGGATATTTTAACATGAGTTGAAAAGTTTTTTTGTCTAAATTAGTGAGGATTATTAAATATTTATGTGATTAAATGCGCAACAGAAATGACGTATTTTAAAATAGATGATTTCATAAATTGGATAGGATCATTTATTAGGTATTTTTGTGATATTTAAGATCGAGTTAGAAGTTCCAGAATTTAATATAATTTTTTTTTGCAATCAGATTTTGAATGCCCTTATGTTAGTGAAATATTTGGAGCACTTCGATGTAGTAAATTTTGATGGAAGGAGACATGAATTGATGAGATTCATCAAGTTATACGTTTAGGAGCTAATGATTGAAATGAGATTAGGAATAGATTATCAGATCAATGAAGAAAAAGGAAAAAAAATTTTCAGGGTTTTTTGTGCCTTTTTAGTCAAGTAGAGATTGTATATGTTGCTAGACGTTTCAAAATGTGCCATAAAGATTTCAGGGATAATTCAAGTATAATTTTATGTATAATCGGAATATATAATTGTGCATTGTTCTAGCTGATAATTACATCAACTCATGTATTTATGAGATGAAAAGAGACAGATTTAAATGATTTAGGGATTTTGTAGACATTTTCGCTGTAGCTGTAGATTGAAATGCAAATGCTAGGTTTATCTTTAAGGGTAATGTAGTTATTTACGATTAGGTGGATGGGTTCATGGATGTAGAAAAAAATTTAATAAATATCTTTAATAAAGATCTGAATATCTAGCATGGATTTAGATTGAAAAAGTACTGCGTTTTTACTGTAAGTTAAATTTTTTCATTGTAAGTAATTTTTAGATTCAATAAGTGTATTTTACTTCTTTGCAAATTGTTTAATTTTTGTTGTATGTGGATATGTTATGAATAAACAGTGATGTAAGATTACGTTTGATTAATTTACTCTTTATTTCTGTAATTTACTGCATTGTATCATTGATATGACCAATTTATCTGTTTTTAACAAAATTAGTTTTTCTTTTGAGAAACAAATAAGGTAAAAAAGAATTGAATATAATGTAAAGGTTAGTTTCTAGCCATAAATTTTATTTATGATATAAACTGATATAAACAAGAAATATGAAGTGGGATGAAGAGTTAAAGGTCAGGTGTAGAAGGAAAGTGGATTAAAACAATGCATGTTTATGATATGAACGAAAATATGATACAGTGAGTCAAGCAGGGGTTAAAATGAATGTTAAAATTACTTTTAAAACTGACATCAAGTACCATCATGATAAAAGAGTGATAAGATTTTCCTAGTTCTTACGTATACGTATCTTACGTGCCGAGTCCTGATTATTGATTTGCAGGAAAGGCGATATGTCAGTCAAGCTAGCTCAGATATAAATATTGGTGTAGATACTCTTATCCAATAAATATCACGTAATGTAATAACGTAATTCCACAAAGTATCTTAAATATTCTTGTAGCTTGAAGATTGGGTAATAGTTAAAGTTGACATTGTGTCAATAAAGGTTATTCATTTAATATGATAATTTTAATTTGAGAGAAATATCAGTTGAAATTAGAAGAAATAATTTCGCTTTCAATATTTTTTTTCCGCTTGCAGCGACGTGTTTATTCAAGAAAGAAGGAAAAGTTTTAACATTTAAGAACTTGTAAGCAGACATCTGAGATAGATGAAAGAATACATGTATCGAAAAAAAGGTATTTTACGTATTTTCGAGAGCAAATAATTGTTACGTTTGTAATGCATTGTTCTTTGCCTTGTTTAAAATATTTCAAAGTAATGTATTTACGTCAGATTTCGTAAGAATATTTCGTTTTGTGTTGTGAATATCTTAGTTTATAGCGTCGCATATGCAACAGTTATTAATATAGTTGGGTGCGTGCGTGCTTACGTGAAAAATGTGTATTGAAAAGCATTTCGCCCCCGACTGTAATTGGTAGTGCAACAATGTCATCGTCTATGTTTAGGATGGAGGCACTGCCATCTGTGTGTATATGTGTGTTTGTCATTTGATGTCTCTGCTTGATGAGAAAAGGTGGAAGTTACCGTAGGCTAAACAAATTTACTTGCATATGGAACTTATATAATGCAAAAAGGGTGATTATTCTTGTTACCATTATTGTCATTATTATTGTTAGCATAATTTTTATTTGTAGGTAAAAAAGTATTAGAAATTAAAGGAATATTGTAGCCGTTTTGTATGTACTGTAGTCTTCATTTTTTATAGTTGAGATTCTGGTCATTGCTATTTGTTATTTACGTCTGTTGTATGGTTATTATTATCGTAATTGGTTCGATAATATCTAAAGGGTTATTATAATTATTTATTTATTGCATATATTGGTTTATGTGTATTGTATTTGTAGAATATGATAAATAAGTACGTGGTTGTTAAAGCTGTTGTGAATGGAAAAGGTTTTAACTTCTTGGCAGTCTGTTATACAGAATTTGGAGATTAGTTTATTAAAGCAGATAATTATGGGCTAAAAATTGATCATTTTAGTGCAATTACAGTACTGGTTTTGAAATTAATTGCTGTTTATATATTACTGAGTGTTTTTATGACTTTGTGAAGAATCTACTGCTTACCGTACACTGGAAGAAATTATAAGTGAATACAGGATTTCTGTAGCTTTTTACTTTATATGCTATGTCTGTAATTTTTGACATGAAGTTGAACGGAGTGCGATTCCTTATAGTGTAGATTTCACGATCACTTTTACATATGTATATATTTGTATTACTTTGATAGACTAAGTTAGAATCATTGCGAAATTTGAAGCTTCGCTATTTGACCTTATTTTTCCAATTTTGATGTTCAGTTTCATTTTTAGATCTAATGGCTTCATATCGATTGATTGTTCTGACATATATCAAGTATTGGACAGTTTAGCAAATAAGAATTACAGTTCTCGTCCAAAAGAAGGACTAAATATTTATAATAATTTTGATGTTGCTTACCCCGTCGATGCTGCCACATCTAAATGCAGCTTTTAGAAATAACAACCCATCGGGAACTCTTGAAACTGAACCCGCTACTTCCGGTATATTTAAAAACTACAAAATGATGATTAGTATACTGTAACTTATTGCAGGTGTTAATAATAGTCTTTATATCATAAACTTTTGATTACATCTTAATAATTGAGTAAGGTAATTTTTTATTAAAGTTGTGAATTGTAATATTAGAAGTCTTATTTGTAGTGACTCTCTTTGAGTCTTAGTTGTTGATAGTAAACGATTGACCATATAATTAATTTTTGTTTGATGATAGTCATGATTTATTATTTATTATTAACATGATTTATTATTAAATAATTCTATTTAATTGGACGTTTGTAAAATATGTTGGACTCTTAAAAAGGAGATGTTTTATATTAATGCCACTTAATAGTTCATTTTTGTGATGATTTAGGGACTGAGGGTATTTTTCATATTTTGTTGTAGATCTGCTATCACTCTTCAATCCTATTAGCCTTTATAATTCTCCGCTATAAGTCACTTTTAAAGCTTTTTTAATGCTGTAATTTTTTACAATTTCTCGACTTCTCAAGTTAGATTTATTTGCAGTTCCAGCAAGATAAAGGACTTTTTTTGAACAAATTCGTAAAGATTTTAGTACTTATAAGTAATTAAACTAATTACTTAAGTATAGGATTTGGCTCTCTCTACGAAAAAATATGCTGAGTAAAATAAATAAAAGTATATAGATACTTTTCTTACAGTACTTTTATTTCGTTATAAAATTTAATGTGAAAATGTTTCATTTGTATTAATTCGTTTTACGTTTTAATTTGTCTCTGTTAACATTAGTTTCGATCACAATTCAAAATTGGACTAGATGCGGAAGAATTTAAAAAAAAATAATATATAGCGGAAAGGGGAATAATAAGTGATAAGAATAACGTGTGTGGCATGAATTAATGGTCAAAAACGCGAGGAAACTGATTCTTAAGTTAATTTTTTCAGGTCAGGTCAATTACTTGATACTTCAAGTTAAATGAGGATAATCTTTATATGATAAGTATGTGTGGCAGCGTAAGTAAAGCTGCTTCTAATTTTTGTTTCAGGTCATATGCAAACACTTAATCAATGTGGTATCGTAAATGGTTTAAGTAACGATTGTTTAACTACAATAACGAAGCCTAAAGAAATATCAAACGCTCATGATAATAATAACATTGCTCCAGACCAAATTGATTTAATTGAAGCTATAACATTTGCATCACTTTATGGTTTTCAGGTGAAGTTATTTTTGTTTTGGTCGAGAATACTTTTTTGGATATTTATGCTTTGCTAGTAAGGATTAGATTAGTTTAAGCTAATGATTAGACTAAAAATAGTTTCATATTTGGTTCTAATAATCTGTCGATGTTATTTTGTAAATACCGATTTGAATTTTGTGAAAAAGTTTGTATACTTTAAGCTATTTCACATTAGTTTAATTAGAAAGTTAGACGTACTAATTTATGGCATATTTAATTTTGATATGGTTAAGTTTAAAATAGTTATGGATGCTTTATTTTTCTCAAGATTTTGAATTTGCGTTTGAACATTGCAAGTGATATTTAATCATAATATAATCTAAATTTTTATAAATTTCATAATATGTTTATGATTTTTTTGCTTTGAGATTGTTATTATTTTGAAATTTTTTAAGTAATCCGTAAATTATTTAATTAATTAATTTGTTTAACATTTATTTCAAGGCAGTGCCAATACGTATTAAAATTCTTTTACATCGTGCATTATCAACTTTATCAAGAAAACGAGCTGAAGCTGTTATTCGACGTACCGGCTGGAAAGTGGATGATTTTGAACGAGGGTTTATCCAACAGGTAATTTTGTTTATTAAAATTTTGGCGTGCTGCTTGTCTTTGGCATTTAATTTGTATTTGTTAACTGATTTCCGCCTATCTAATGTTTGTCAACTTTTTTGTCATTGAATGAATTCATGTTAATCAGTGCTCAGAGTGTGCCACTATGTTTGAAAATTTTACTAACTCATTTTTTTGTTAATAAGAAAAATGTGCAGTCATTTGCAGTTTTTTCAATCTTAAAAGAACTTTGAAGTCATTCAAAATTTTGTTAGTTTTTTGGAATGTATGGTAATTGAGACATGTCATTTTGTTCACTAAAACTTATTGTTTTTCTAAGTATCAGATTGTCACAATGGTACAGTAGCATTAGGCAGTTTATCTTTGAGTTTGTGATATTTTATAAAAGTATATTGTTTGTTATTTTTAGTTTCAGCTGCGCAATTCCAATAATACCAGTTTTTTGATTAATTCATATTTTTAATGTTTAAAGAATTCAAATCATTTTTTTTATTCATTTCTTGCTTAGATGTTTAAAATATTAAAGCTAAATTTTTTAGCAAAGATTGTGAACAGAGAAGTAATTAGCTTTTTTAACGTGACTCCTCAGTCAGGTGAATCAGATCTTTCAAAGTCCGAAATCAGGGAAAAATTGTGGAGAAAACACTATTCATTTATGGAATATTAATTTTGATACTGAAAATGCAGTTTTTTTTAAGTCTGAGAGTTTTATTGCTGGAATCTTTATTTTTCATTTATTAGCTAAGTGAGGTAATGGATTAATAGTATGCTTAAAAATGATTTGTGCTAAAATCACATTCTCTTACTTTCTTAAATAGTTTATCCGAACTATTTATTTGCTGTTTGATTCTTTACAACTCATTTATATGTGCATAAGAAATTGTATGAAAATAATTGTTAACATATATATGCGATATTCCAAAATATTAATAGATTATTTCAAAAATTCAGCAAATTATTAAATTACTGACTAGATCACATTAAATGCTGACTTATATTCGAAATTAAGATCTACTTGTGACTTTCTACGATGGGATTAAAAAAATCCATTACTGGCAATGTTTGATTTTTGTTTCATGGTTATGTAGAGAGGCTATAAAAATACTGGGCATGGGCATAATATTAATAAATCTTGTTAGAAATTAGAATATTCAGATGTCAGAAGCATCTTGCATAATGAGAGATCTTTCTAAATAAATCAAAAAATTAGATAGTTGTCATGATGGTTTAAGATTGCTGGTTAGACGATAAATTTGCATATTTATGCAGTTAAACACATCACATTGTGCAGTGTGTAACATCACTCGTGTATAATAATTCAGCTACTTCTTTTAAAATATTCACTTCTAACAACATCATATTTTTGAATTAGTTTAATTAATATATAAACGTTTACACAAAAATCATAGTTTTGATCTTTAATGTGTAGTCATTTACAATTCATACATTTAGATGATAGTTGTGTTAAAAAAGTAAAATTTGTAGTTAAAGCAGCATTTATCAGTGAAATAAAGTCTGTTTATTACTCAGTGTATTGTTTTAGTTTACTTTGGTTATAATCATTAATTTTCCTCCTGATGCTATCGTTGGATAATACTTCTTATCAATTGTTCATTAACTTATTCTCCATAATTTTCAGTATTTTTTTCTTGTGCGATAGTACTGCAAAATTTTCAGTTTATTGCTTGGCAATTTAGGTGAAAATAAGTATCCTATGATTGTTGCTGATATTACTTTAGCTCCATGGGATTAAGTATATGGGTTGATAATGTGCGGTCAGGTTTTTTGTGCTTATTATAATGACGTCGTTATCAAATAGCATTTAAAAATTAGTATAATTTGTTTGATTTGTTGATCATATAATAAAAGGGATGAAAATTTTTGGATTATTTGTCAGTAGCCTTATAATGGAGGATAGTTCGATGTTTGATAACAATCTAATCATTTTGAAATATCATAAGAAAGTTCAACTTTAAAGTTATTTGGGTAGAATTTTACAGTAATTTTATCAACTTAAGGTCTAGTTAAATTATAAAATATCAGAAAGATTAGTTACGACGATTTTATACGAATGTTACACTGGATCAATTTATATTTAAGTTTATTTCTGGATTGTTCGTTTCGATTGGTTTTATGAAGTTTGTGATTTACAGCTAGGATTATGTTTTTGACGCCATCTCAGGGGTTTATGCTGTCAATTCGTTTAATTTCTTGATGACAGATTTGGGTTTGGGATAAAAGTCAACCCAACCTCGCGAGCGAAGATTTTCCCTTGAGACTGTTTCTTAGTTCTCTCCCTCTCTCTCTATATATATGTGTACATAGTATACTATTACTCGGTCGGATTTTTGTTTCTAAAGTGTTATTATTTTAGTAAATAAATTTTATTGCGGACTTGTTTTGTTGAGAATGTATTTAGGTATAATTAGTTAATCATATGAGACTAAAATTAATCATAAAATGGACTCAAAGTATTAAGCAGTTTCATTTCTTACTGTTTGTTAATGAATGAAGTATAGTTCAAACTAAAGGTTGCTAATAACTTGCGTAATAGTTGTTTTTGACTTTTTCATGTTGTGTATTGCTGGACTGTGCTCTCACATTCAAACATATTAGATGTTTTATAAAGTGTGGGCTTATAATAAAATTGATATCAAAAATAAGTATAGTATTATCAATTAGTCTGATCAAAAATCGTGAAGAATAAATTAAGAGTATTGGTGAAGGATGGTTTTAGAACTAGAAAATGTACAGTGTGTGTGTGTGTGCGTGTGTAGTGATTCAGCTTCATTGCTCTTGTGCGTAGAGTTAGTTAGAATAAAACATGAAGGCAAATTCTTAGCTTTTTTGGTACAAAACAAAGACAAAATTTTATGCATTCATTCGGGTTTGGGATGCTCGGTGTGGGGGTGGTGTTACTTTACCTTACTCGATCCATCGATTAATTTACTCGTGATAGAAAAATTACTTGGCATATGGCAGTGTAAGTATATGATATCAGCAGTATTTATGATTTTGTAACTAAGAGTCAAGAATGATACTTCATAATAATTGATTGGAACAAAAAATGCATTTCGTTGAATATTCTACAGTTGTGTTGCTCACTTTTTGGATTATTATGATAATGGTGACAGTGCTAGTAAACGAGAATTAAAGTTTAGGACTGGTCATAATTTATGCATTAAGTAATAATCGTTTTGCTTATACTGTATATATAATTTACGAACCACTGCTAATCACTGTAATATTGATAAGTTTAAATGTAATCATATATGAGTTATTTATAATTACACAGATAATGATGGATGACTTCTTATAGATGCTCAGAGCAGTACTAAGAATCAGTAAGTCATTTTAAATTTGAACTGTTTTAGTTGGGAACTATTGCTATAATTACTATATTACTAATATATAGGACTATTATCACTTGTTGTACTGGTTAGTAGTTTAGCATAATTATTTTTGTAATCGTAATTACTTAACGATTTTTAATATTCTTACTTTTCCTTCCTTTATTTCTACAATGATTTTCTCGTTCGTAGTTCGTATCTAATTATTTAGCAAAGAGTTAGAATAAAACATGAAGGCGAATTCTTAGCTTTGCACAGACTGAGTATTGTCATCATAGCATTGCGACTTCTGTAATTTTTTAACTAGTCTTTAATTAATGCATACCGACAGTGTATAACTTAATTATTAATGCTGTCAACTATTTAAGTCATATTTTTAACCTGATGAAATGATTATGAGCAGACGTTCGGTTATGATGACTCACTGAAGTAACTCGTTTTTTTATCATAAACTATAACGTAAGTGAGGAAAGCCCAAATTTTGTCAGTAGAAGAGGTTAGAGGACATTAGTTAAAAGTTTATTTGTTTTATCCATTCTTTCTTTGAATATTCACTTGCATTATGCTAATTATAATACCGTGACTACCGTATCTCGACCACTTATAATTACTCTTTCCTCCTATTGACAACACTACAGATTATTTCAAAATGTTATGTGTAGTTTGCAATTCATTTACGGTTGTTGTGTGCTTACTTGATATATTGTGTGATGTTTAATAGTTTTGCTGTATGGCTGAGTAGAAAACAATTTATCGATGGAATGATTAATTTTCGTCCACAGCTACATTTTTTGGTGCTCTTTGTATTAATGAGGCAGTACAGTATCTTACTCATAAATAGAGCCTTGATAAAGTCAACTGTCATTAGTCAAATATTGGAAAATAAATATAAACTTTTAATAACATGGAAGAATAGAATATATGAAGAAGATACAATAACTACTACAAGCTGCACTCGGCAACTACAAACTTATACTGATCAGTCACTGACGCTTTCGGAGTGTTTTTATTGATTGATTAGTGATCACCAAATTATATTAAGGTTTTGAGTAAGTAGTTGTGCTAATATAGCGGTAAACTACATTTACTCATCCATTTTATGTTTATTTCACTCATTAGAACCAGGAATTTGGCAGTCATAATGCTGATGAAAATGTGGTGAAATATTAAAGCAAGTCATTCTATCAGTGGTCTGATCGATTATGTAGCAAAATCAGTCGATATATGAATGATCTGAAATAATTTGAGAGGGATGGATGAAAACGAAGAGAGGATGTTAGTAGCTAACGTTGTCTTCTCAGATTTCATCTGTTGTGCCCCTTCCGCTATGAAAGCCTTTGAAGAATGGAAAAAGAACAGAAAATGAGAAAAAGTGATGCACAACCAAATGTATAATTATCTTTTGGGCTAAATTACTGCTTGTAGTGCTAAAAGTGGGACAGGACGGTGCTTAGCGGTGAAGAGTGGCAAAAGTGAGGTAACAATGCTTTAATGTAAATCTTAAATTTTTATGCTTATGTACTATGAGAATGGGCAAGGAGGGTAGGAGAGAATGCAACACATTGTAGTCTGTGCATGTGTGGGTGGGGTGTATTGTCTGTGGGTATAGGCGTATGTATGGGTGTGTGTGTGTGTGTCAGTGAGTGGTTGAGGTAGAAAAATGCTAATTAAATGTGCGTGAAAAATGTGTAAAGTGTTTTAGAATGTGATAAGACTGCACTGTATGTAATGAATGTACGCTTCTGTACATAATGTATC